TTCAGTTGGAGAGCTCAGAGGTGCATCTTCCCCAAAGTAAGGTGGGAAATAAGACATCGCTCAACATTGAGGAGCTCTTGATTCTTTAAAGTGGTGACTTAGGAGGAGGAATTTTTGGTCTCTCAACCAGAAAAGGTCTTGGAGATGTCATTACCTAAACTACTATTTCGATGGTAGTTGCAGGAATGCAAGAATACAAATCAAAGGATATCTGCCAAGCGGTTGTCTAAGTTTTTCTTGAGTGCCTCCAGTGCTGGAGCACTCATCATCTCTCGAGGCAATCGGTTCCACTGTCTTACTACTCTAACAGAAAGTTTTTCCTGATATTCAGTTGAAATCTGGCTTCCTGTAATTTGAGCCCATTGCTGGATGTTCTCCACTCTGGGATGATTGAGAACAGATCCTGCCCCTCCTCTGTATGACAGCCTTTCAAATATTTGAAAGATGTTATCATATAACCCCTTCTTTTCTCAAGGCTAAACATACCCAGTTCTTTCCGTCTTTCCTCATAGGGCTTGGTTTCCAGCCCCCTGATCATCCTTGTGGCCCTCCTCTGTACTTGTTCTAATTTGTCAGCATACTTCTCGAAGTGTGTTGTCCAAAACTGAAAACAATACTCAAGGTGAGGCCTAACCAATGCTGAATAGAAGGGAACTAGCACCTTGCAGGATTTGGAAATTATACATCTGTTCATGCAGCCTAAAACAGGATTTACCTTTTTTGTAGCCACATCACACTGTTGGCTCGTTTTCAGCTTGTGATCTATGACAATTCCAAGATCCTTCTCGCTTGTAGTACTAATGAGCTAGGTCTCCCTCATTTTTTAACGGCACATTTGTTTTCTTTTTCTGAGGTGCAGTACTTTGTATTTATTGCTGTTGAATTTCATTCTGTTGTTTTCAGCCCAGTGCTCCAGCCTAACAATATCATTTTGAATTTTGTTTGTGTCTTCCAAGGTATTAGTATTCCACCCAATTTTGTGTCATCTGCAAATTTGACAAGCATTCCGTGCACTCCCTCATCCAAGTCATTAATAAAAATGTTGAAGTGCACTGTGCCCAGGACTGAGCCTTGGGGCATCTCACTTGTTACCTCCTCCAATTGGAGAAGGAGCCATTAATCATCACCCTCTGAGTACGATTCTCTAGCCAATTGTGTATCCACCTGACACTTGATCTATCCAGCCCAGACCTAGATAGATTTCTAATCAGAATATCATGGGGCACCTTATCAAAAGCTTTGTTGAAGTCAAGATATACTACATCTACAGCATTCCCTCTGTCTGTCAGGGAGGTTACCCAATTAAAAAATGAGATCAGATTACTCTGGCAGGATTCCCAGATTCCTCTTTTTTGTCCTTTTTGAAGATAGGGACAACATTAGCCCTCCGCAGATCATCTGGCACCTAACCTGTTTCCCATGATTTAAAGAAAATAATGGACACTGGTTCTGAGTATTCTTTGGCCAATTCCTTCAGTACTCTCGGATACAATCCATCTGGCCCTGGAGGTTTGAACTTGCCCAAGGTGGAAAGGTACTCCTCAATTCCTCAACTTTGTTTGTTTCCAGTTGCAATCCTGTCCCCCCAACTTGCACTTCACATTGTCTGGGTCATAGCCTGTCCTATGGGAAAAGAGCTAAACTATGAACCAAACACATCTGTCTTTTCTTTATCATCTATTATCATCATGAGTACCCAGCTTGCTGGGGGGGGGCAATGTGTAGCCTGTATAATTAAAAATTGTAAACCGCCCGGAGAGTGCTTGTAGCACTATGGGGCGGTATATAAGTCCAATAAATAAATAAATAAATAAATTTTTTCTCCATTGAGTAGCTGTGCCACTGTTTCTTTTCTTTGTCTTTTGCTTCACATATATCTGAATAATCCTCTTATTTTTCTTTCTCTAGCTAATCTCAGCTCAGTCTCAGCTTTTGCCATCCCTGCATTTCCTTGCTACTTGTCTGTACTCTTCCTTGGTGACCTGGTTTCTTTCCACCTCCTATACATGCCTTTTTTGTGAATCATAGAAAAGTTAAGTTGGAAGGGGCCTACAAGGCCATCAAGTTCAACCCCCTGCTCAGTGCAGGAATACAATCAAAGCATATCTGCCAGGTGATTATCTAAGTTGTTTTTTTTTTAATGCCTCCAGTGTTGGAACACTCACCAACTCCCGAGGTAACTGGTTCCACTGTTGTACTGCTCTAACCATTAGAATGTTTTTCCTGGTATTCAACTGAAATCTGATTTTTCTTTTACCTTAAGCCTGTTGTTGCATGTCCTGCACTCTGGGATGATCAGGAACAGATCCTGCCCCTCCTCTGTATGATAGCCTTTTAAATATTTGAAAAGTGCTATCATATCACCCCTCAGTCTTCTTTTCTCAAAATGAAATACCCAATTCTTTCAGCTTTTCCTCATAAGGCTTGGTTTCTAACCCCCTGATCATCCTTGTCACTCCCCTCAGAACTTGTTCCAATTTGTTAGCATCCTTCTTGAAGTGTGGTGTCCAGAACTGGAGGTGAGCACTCAAGGTGAGTACTTAACCTGATGTAAGGACTCCGCCAGTACAGTATCATAGTCACGGAATTTACAAAATCTCCCTTTGAATCTATGGCAACATCGAATGTGTGATAGTTGACACTTAAAACATTTTTGTTGTTGGAGTAATATCTGCTAGAAGAGCTAGCGAGCTCTCTGCTGTAAGATATGATTCTCCCTATCTTTAATTTAAAGATAAAGTGACACTGTATCCTGATCTCTCTTTTCTTCCAAAAGAAATGACACCTTTCCATATGTCGCAGACTTTGATTTTACCCTTGTTCTGCTCATCCCCCTCACCCCAGTCTTCTTTAGAAAAGACACTGCATATTTTAGATGTTAGGAGGGCTTTAGCATTTTATTTGGCAGGGACAAAAGATTTTAGAAAAACCTCTAAATTGCTTGTTTGTTACAAAGAACCTGGAATCAGCTACTCATTCAATTAAAAACTGGAAAGTAGTTATTGCTCATTCTGGAGGCATTCTGTTTCTCACCTCCCCCATGCCTTTTCTTGTTCTTGACCATCCTAATCTAGTACTTGGGTGCACACAGCTGTTTAATGAGGATAAATTTTTATAAGATTAAAAAGATTCCATAAAGGAGAAATTAATTTCCCAATGATTTGCTAGCTTTTATTCATAGAAAATTAGATTCTCTAGAAACATGATCCCCTGCTAGGGATCAAAGTATTCAAGTGAGGCTTTCCTTCTTATATATAAATGAAGTCTTTAGCATGCAATGAAACAAGGGTGCAATTCATTGTGAATGACTAAACATACAGAGGTAGGCATCCCAGCCACACACTGCTGGAGCTTGAAACAGAAAGTTCCATAAATTGAACAGATTGTACTCATTGGGTAGATTACATGTCATGTGCATTCTCCAAATCACAATGAGAAACACAGGAAGCCTTGCTGATTAATTTCAGACATAGTACATGTTGCATTTGGAATTATTGTCTAGGGAACTGATGATCCTAGAAATAAAAAATATATACAAAACCAAATGGAGAGGTGATAAACTGCAAATAAAAAATGTTCTTACAAAAATGTCAGAAGACATTTTCCCTGTTAGTAAGGGAAAGTCACCTTCTACTGATTGTTAATTAGATCAGCCTCATTGGCCATTGCCTACAGCGGCCTATGATTCAAGCTAGGTGCTGCCCGTCTCCTTCAGACCACAAGCAACCCCTACCCCTTATTGTGCTCAGGTAGGAGCGCTGTTGCAGAGTATACTGTGGTGGGTGGGATATCATTGTCACAACCTCCTTGATTGATAGTAAAAATACCAGAACAAAAAAGGGGAGTAAAAAGGAACACTATCCAGGCCAACAATGTTAAGCCAGCCTAAAAAATGTCAGGGTCTTCCCAGCAAAAATGCTGTCAATTTTACAGAAGCTGTGCTTTATTCTTCTTACTGTGAATGCACACTAATGGGGTTAATCTGCACCTGTGCAGAGCAGCCTCGGAATCTTCTAGAGCTCAGGCACATGGTGCCAGAACCTCCCTCATGTTGGCTATAACTCCACCCCGGCACCAAGTGCCTCAGTTCCATTTCTGCCACCGCTTTTACAGCTACTCGAATCGGAGCTTCTGCGTTCTTCGCTTTCCTTCAATCCTTTAAACTAGTTTGGACTTCCCGTTTTTTTACTTCAGACTGTTGTACTTTTCTCCTGGTACTGTGAGTTAAAACAAAAGAAAAAACTGTGTTATTCTTGTATTTTGTTGATGGGTTTATGGCCTCTTTGGGCCCTTTCAAGTGGTGCTTGTCTTGCTCCAATAAGGTTCCACTCTCCGATGGCCATTCTCAGTGTTTGTTTTGCCTGAGAGAGGAGCACCAACCTGCCCTGTGTACTGTTTGTAAGGTCTTTACCAAACCAGCGCTCAAGCAGAGGCTCCAGCACCTATTTGTGGGGAAAGTCTCTTTGCCCTGCACGAGCTTCCACCATGGACCCGCCGCAAGCCCCTTCCGAGACTTCTCTGGCAGCAGGCCGATCCCCTAAAAAGGCAGCTAAGCCACCATCCTCTGGCTCGAGGTTGACTGTCTCGGTGTTGGCACTGAAGCCCTGATGTTGAAGAAAAAGAAAAATCTTCTTTGAAAACTTTCAAGCCTTTGGTTGATGCTCTACCTTCACCACCACCTGTTGCCCATTCCTGGCAAGACTTCATACTCAAGGTGGTGAATTATTCTGCCGCAGTGGGAGCATATCACTGCCACTTGTGGAATGCCATCTTGCCAGCACTACAAGCTGCCCCATAGGACCTTAGAACAGAAAAACGGAAAAACAGAAAACCTTGGGGTGAGAGTGGGAATAAAATGGAGCAGCTTAACTTCATAAAGTGGCCAAATGGGAGCACACTGCACTACAATATCCTGTTATAGACCTCTATTCTAAATAATGTATTTTCAGTTAATTTATCTTACTGCTGCTACTACTATTGTTATCATTCTTTTTTGTCAGCCTGGTGAAAAAGAAGGTACCAACAAACTTCAGTCAGATGAAATCAGCCCAGAAAGGCAAAATCATGTAAGTACTGATGAGTTTGAGAAAAATTATCTTGAAATGCCAAATGGAAACTATATCAAAATAATATTATAAAGATAAAATCATGCCAATTACATGTCAGCTGCAGCACCATGGTAACACTGGAGTGACAGTCATGACTTAACTAGCAGCAGAACCAACAGTACAAATAATTGCTGGGAGAAAAAACTCTGAGGCAACAATAATGATGCTTACATGTAGCTTCCCTAGCAAATGCAACTTGTGCTTACAAATTAGTGTTGCCATTGACAGTGTTCCTTAGTCATGCATGTCAGCAGAAATTCCAATTTTCTGTATATCCAGCCACCCACACATATGTATAATTACATGCTGTCAAACTGATTCTGACTAGATGGGCATGAATTAGAAAAATGGTGATTCATTTTGATTTGTGTTTCATCAAGGTTGACAAATCATGAATTACAAAATTATTATTTTCTGATGAATCAATAATCAATTTGTCAGTTCCTTTTTTACTTTAAAATCCTATAAAAGGCTCCCCTTCCCAATCAACACCACATTCTCAGGGAAGCTTCCTCTGACTCTACAAGCCTTACATGTTTGGTGACGTTTGAGTTTCAGACATCCAAGTTATATACTCACAAAGGTCTCCCAGGAAAGTTTCCCCCAGGCACCTGGAAGCACCAAATAGCAGAGAAGCTTCTGCTGATTCTCCTCTACAATCCTTCTAAGTTTAGTGAATATTGAGTTTCAGACATCTGAGTTATACACCCACAAATTGCCCCTCCCCAAAGAAAGTGCCCTTTAGCAGCTGGCTTGGAGAGACCCAGTCTTCACTAAACTTGGGAGACTGTAGAGGAGAGTTTCATGGGATTTCATGAATCATGGGAAGCTTCTGTAGGTATCTGGGGGGCTGTTTTATAGCCAAATGAATCAATGAAGCAAAAATTGTTAAGAATTCATTGATTTGTGATTCGTCTGGGCATTGATTTGTATGAATACAAATCAATAAACTAGCACTTTTTGAACAAATTTGGTGATTCCTTTTTTAGTTTGTGCCCATCTCTAATTCCTACTTTTGGCAACCATGTCTAAGTTATTCTAGGTATAGAATACTCAGAAGACCTCTGGCTCTGCAGACAGGTACCCAACTCACTACATACATACAGAGAGGGAGGGAGGGAGGGAGGGAGGGAGGTGTCCCGAGTTATGACCATTTTGAGTTATGGCCAGCTCCAGTGGCAAAATTTTGCTTCAACTTGTGGCCGGAGCTTCGACCAAAAAAGGCGGGGAATTCAAATTACCAACCATTGGTAGGCGAAGAGGCTGCTTCTTTATAGCTCTTTTGCCCCAATGGTTAGAGTGAGTGCAATTGGAGGAAGCTTCACACTGCCTGGTAAGGTAAGGTGTTGCTTTCTGCTTTTAAGAAACTGTTCTGGGTGGGTTTTGCAGCATGGTTTTGGGCTGGGTGGTGGGATTATGTTTCTATGCTGTGATGGGTCTTGCAGGGCTTCTTTGTTTTTTTTTGTTTTGTTTTGTTTCCCCCACCCATTTCCGATGGGTCTTGGGAGGTTTGGTTGTTTTTGGGGGGTTCTCCATTTCCAGTGGGTGGGTTGTTTGCTTTTTGGATTTTTCCCCCATTTCTGATAGGTTTTGGGGGGTTTCGTTTTTAGTATTCCCCCCCCCCATTTCTGATGGGTCTTGCAGGGTTTGGTTGCTTTTTGCTTTTTTTTTTTTTGCATTTCCGAAGGGTCTTGCATGCTTTGCTTGCTTTCTGCTTTGCTTTTTTTGCATTTTTGAAGGGTCTTGCATGCTTTGCTTCCTTTCTGCTTTGCTTTTTTTGCATTTCCAATGGGTCTTGCACACTTTGCTTGCTTTTCTTTTCTTTTCCCCCTTTGGCAGGAACAGATTAATTATGGTTCCGATGGGTCTTATTTATTTATTTATTTATTTGTTTGTTTGTTTGTTTTATATGCTGCCCACACTACCCAAAGGTCTCTGGGTGGCTCCAAAGGTCTCTGGGCAGCTTGCAGTTTGTGTGTTTTTGTGTGTTTAATTAAATAAATAAATAAGTCCATTTGCTATGATTCAACTTTCTGATAGAAGGGGTGTACATACCATTGACTACCAGCTGTACTGGACTGTTCTTAGCTAATGTGACTTCAGTTTCTCTAAAGAGTTAAATTAGAAGACACAAAGAGAGTTGATTCAGGGAAGTCCACAGAATTTTTCCCTCCTTTTTGTGGACTGAGCTGTTGTCAAACATCTGGGGGGTTTCTAACTGTCAAGCCATCCTGAAAGTGAACCCTAGTTTATGCTGTGTCAGCAGATAATGAACTTTCTAAGAAGCAGCAGAAGTCCAACACAGGAGCACCTGATTCTTTTAGTGTGTATAGCTGCAAGGACAGGGATCTGTCAGATGGCTGAATTCTTCTCATATGATGATATATGAGTAATTCTGGGTGTATGGAAGGCACACTGGAAAACCAGCAGTAGGAAGCATTATCCAAAGTTGGACTTTCAATTCCTCAAGGTGTTTGTCACTGATTTTCCTTAAAGTTGATGAATGGATGAGGTAGTTTGAAAAACTGTACACCAGTAAATTTGTATGGTGTTCCCTGGGTTATGCCCTGGAATTTGCTAGCAGTTTGGCCAGTGCTGAGTTAGGTGAACCCCATCTAAATATATTAAGTTGTGGGACTCAGGACTGAAATTTCTTATTTGTATTGGGAGATTTCTGCCTTTTTTGGCCTTGCATTTTTATACCTGTATGGTGCAAGTAAATTACTTGAAATAATTTTCTTGTTCCCAGAATGGAAGAACTAGCACAATTTCACAAGACTTTAACAAATCCTTTGTTCAAAGCAAACCCTCTGGCAGTTGCTGGTGAGCATCTTTCTAAAAGACTGAAGCAGGAAAGAGAGGGAGAATCTATATAACATTACTAAGGCTGTTGAAGAACACAGAAGAATGGATTTTCAAAATGCACAGCGCAATGTCTTTACACAACCAGTAGACCAACAAACTTCCAGAGGTCTGAAGGATAATGTCTTATGATTTGTTTTCTGTCAACAGAAATAATGCTGTCAGCATTGAAAATTCTACTGTAGCTAGTACTGGTTACAGCCTTATCTGTGGTTTTGCTAGAATTTCTTAGGATGCTCTGTGGATATATAAGTGTTCTTATTTCCCACTGTGTTAAGTCACGTATGGGATGTTATTTCTTCCGTCTGCCTCTCTTGTTCTTGTAAAGAAAAGCATTAATTGCTGCCTTCTCCACTAGGGATAATATAGTATGGGCTATGTTCCTCTGAAATTCATTTCTGTTTAGTAAAGGTTAGGGAAACTTTCCTGTTTCCATTAACAGTTCAAGTATTTTTTTTATTTTGCAGATAATGTTAACTTATGTATAAAATGGTGATAAAACTAATTGCTTCACACATTATGATTGAGTGCCTGAAATCCTATTGCTTAGCACAGTAAATCACACTAAAGTGTCCCATTGAACTAATGAGGATTTAGTGAGTCAATTCCTCCAGATGTTCTGTTGATTCAAATGGGGCTACTCTAGTTGTGACTTACTGTGTTAATGTAAATTGCAACCAGAGTAGGCCCATGTGAATCAATAGAAATTCTGGAGGAGTTGATGCACCAACTTCCCATTGATTCAATAGGTCTACTCTGTAATTTACTATGCTATGCAACAAGATTTCAGCCATCAAATATTAACTGAATGACTCTTAAGAAGCTGTTGCTGTAACATGGCAGAGGGATGTGTTGGAATAGTAAAGGTTTGCAGGAGTAAGGTCAGAAAGGGAATAACATTTTTTTAAAAAATCAAGCGTTTTTCTGAGGTAGCCTTGCATATTAAACTTTGCAGTAGTTATTTTTTGATATTATCAGTGTATAAATGATGAGGAAGAGGCTATCTACCTAGGAGCTGCTATTGCCACACTATCCTAAGCTGGTTTGTGCTAAAGATGACACTGGTAGCACAACAAAAAGGCTGGATCTAACCATTCATAAACTACAAGCTTGGACTTCAAGGCAGAGTGAATCCTCATGCAACTACCTTCCTGATCAGTTGTAGATGTCTTATCTTGATTGACCTTTAGTTTGTGTTAATCTTCATCCAGCCCATTGTGACCTCAGGTTACACCTCAGTTGTCAGAGGTTCTATTGATAAACTGCATCATCTGAGTTGGATGAAAAAGAAAAGAAAATTTTATTTATTGTTTCAAATTTTTTTCTTACTTCAAATGCCTGTAAATTTCTAAATCCTTTAATAAACAATTCTTATTATCAGGGCTTGTGTGTAGTGTTTACTGATGCCTGGAACCATCTGTAGAATGAGCAGGTACAGATTTTTAAATATTCAAAGTATCTTAAACTTCACTTTTGGCTTTTGTTCTGTTCGGGTCTCCTGATTGCCCTGAGTAGAATTTCTGTGATAGCAAGCAAATTTCTGGGTATTTATGCTTTAACTCAGGGGTGGGCAATTAATTTCTATAGGGGGGCCACATGAAAAATCTGAACTGTGTTCAGGGGCCGAAACAACTTTACTTAAAAATAAAATAAAACTGTGATGGTGTGATTGCTTTTATTTTAAACTTGTTGATCTTCACAAATGCTAAAGAGGTTTTTGTGGTATGTTAAAGATAAGCAACTGATCAACTTTAGACAAAAAGCTATAAATGGTTTTGATGTTCAAAACTGTCCGTGGGCTGGACAGGAGCAGCTCGCGGGCCGTACGTGACCCTCAGGCTGCACTTTGCCCAGGTCTGCTTTAACTTGACATCCTGAAGATATTTATACACTTATAGGTGACCTGACCACTCCATATTTATACATGATGCAGCCATTTTTCATTTCCAACAACCTGTCAAGAAGGATTCCGTGGTTGTAAATGTTGAAAGTCATTGAGGATCTAAGAGAATTAACACAGTTGAAATCCCCTTTCTTTCTCCTGTTGAGAGAACCAGAGCACCATCCATTAAGAATGAGTAGTTCATGTTGTCCAAGAGTGTTTTCACTTAGTCTACACGCAAGAAATAGTGACTAGCTGATAGTAAGAGGAATCCCTCTCTGCTGTGTGATGGCAATGGGGACCATTTCCTGAGGAATGGATTAACGTCACTATGCGGGGCACCACTGTATTTCTCTGAATTAAATTTCAGTTTGATCACCCTTATCCAGTCCATTACTAATATCAGGCACTGATCTAGAACCAAAGTGTCCTCAGGTTTTGATGGAAAGGATAGAGTTGAGTGTCATCCAACCAGTGGATGACACCCAATTCTATCCAGTGACACCAAATCACAAAACTCCTGACAATTTGTTTATATGCTGCCTTTTTGTCCCATAGGAAATCCAAGGTGGCTCACAAAAACGAAAACTATACAAAATCAAATTAAAACATAATAAAAATACCATACTGAAAGAACAAACATATATCAAGATTAAAGCCATAAACACTTGTAGGAACAGAACAGAAATTAGTTTGACAATTTCTCCCAGTGGTTTCATGTGTGTGTTAGTATGGAGAGACAAAACAGAACCCTGAGGGACACCACAGGCTCAAGTGTTGAGCGGAAGTCCCCCAGCACAGTCTGCTGAGACTGCCCTTCCAAGAAGGACCAGACCCACTGCATCTGCCAGAAGGATACCTTGGTTGATAGTTTGAAAACCATTAAGAGGTTCAGCAAAACTTGTAAAAACATCTGGTTCTCTGGCAGGGCCAAGTTTTTCAAAACCTGAAAGAGGTAGAGAAACATACCACATATCCACACAAATATAGAATATAAGAGTTCGGTTTATTGAATCCACAGATTATTATTATTATTATTTATTTGATTTATATCCCGCTCATCTGGTCAGATTGATCAGGAAACAAATAGGGGTAGATCAGATCAATTGATCTCCCCATGTCTATTTTTGGGCTGCTTATAAAGGCTGTTAATTACATGATGTTAAGCAAGTAACTTAATTGAAAGCAAAATGTCAGTCGCAATGTATAAACTATTCCTAAGTTGGTTGTTGTGGGTTTTTCAGGTTCTTTGGCCATGTTCTGATGATTGTTCTTCCTAACGTTTCGCCAGTCTCTGTGGGCAGCCTCTTCAGAGGACAGGAGTAGCACTCTGTGCTCTGCTGCAATTTGCAAAACGTTAGGAAGGACAACCTTCAGAACATGGCCAAAGAGCCCGAAAAACCCACAACAACCATTAGATCCCGGACGTGAAAGCCTTCGTGAATATATTCCTAAGTTATCCTTGCGAATATGTCCCTGATTGGTTCAAAAACCCTCCTTTGTATTTGTTCTGTCCATCAACATTGTCTCAACATTTATATTACATTATGTTCATTTCCCCTCCATATCTTTTTCATGTGCCCCCTAGTCCAGCCTTGCCTTTTGAATGCCTGGTATCCATCATATCTTTGTGTTTTCCTGTCTTCCTGGACACTGTGTGATAATAAAAGTCTGTTGCCAGTCTGTTTTTGTACCTTATTTACTGACTAATTCACTCATAGTTTCAAGGATTGAAATCAACCAGGGGCCAGAGAATACTTAACTCTAGAATATAGCATGCTTTTTAACATATATAGGATTTACCTTAAGAAAGGTACAAAGTATTATAAAGTTAGACATGTAAGACTTATAAAATTCTGTAACAACTCCCCCCGCCTAGGGTCTTTTCAATGTGAAACAGGAAAGTCACTTAAAATCTTGCTTATCATTGAGTCATTGAAAAGTGAAGTTCGAAGGAGCCTAAAAGGCCATCAAGTCCAGCCTCCTGCTCAATGCAGGAATACAATCAAAACATATCGGCCAGGTGCTTATCTAGGTTTTTCTTTAATGCCTCCAGTGTTGGAGCACTCACCAACTCCCAAGGTAACAGGTTCCACTGTTGTACTGCTCTAACAGTTAGGAAGTTTTTCCTGATATTCAACCGAAATCTGGCTTCCTTTAACTTGAGCCCATTGTTGCGTGTCCTGCACTCTGGGATGATCGAGAACAGATCTTGCCCTTCCTCTGTATGACAGCCTTTCAAATATTTGAAAAGTGCTATCATATCTCCCCTCAGTCTTCTTTTCTCAAGGCTAAACATGCCCATTTCTTTCAGTCTTTCCACTTAAGGCTTGGTTTTCAGCCCCCTGATCATCCTTGTTGCCCTACTCTGAACTTGTTCCAGTTTGTTAGCCTCCTTCTTGAAGTGTAGTGTCCAGGACTGGACACAATACTCAAGGTGAGGCCTAACCAGTGCTGAATAGAGAGGGACTAGCACCTTGCAGGATTTGGAAACTATACTTCTATTAATGCAGCCTAAAATAGCATTTGCCTTTTTTGTAGCCACATCACACTGCTCATATTTAGCTTGTGATCCATGACAATTCCAAGATCCTTCTCGCTCCTATTGCTGAGTCAGGTATGCCCCATCTTGTAACTGTGCAATTTGTGTCTTTTTCTGAGGTGTAGTACTTTGTATTTATCACTGTTGAATTTCATTCTGTTGTTTTTGGCCCAGTGCTCCATCCTATCAAGGTCATTTTGAATTTTGTTTGTCTTCTGGGGTATTAGCTATTCCGCCCAATTTTGTATCATATGCAGATCTGACAAGCATTCCCTGCACTCCCTCATCCAACTCATTAATAAAAATATTGAAGAGCACCAGGCCCAGGACAGAGCCTTGGGGTACCCCACTTGTTACTTCTACCCAGTTAGAGAAGGACCCACTAATCGTCACCCTCAGCGTACTATTCTGTAACTAATTGTGTATCCACATGACACTTTTATCTATCCAGCCCACACCTAGTAAACTTGCTAATCATGATATCACAGGGCACTTTGTCAAAAGCTTTGCTGAAGTCAAGATATACTGCGTCTACAGCATTCTCTCTGTCTATCAGGGAGGTCACCCGATCAAAAAATGAGATCAGATTAGTCTGGCATGATTTCAGTATTTTCTAGGTGTTTGCACAATGACTGCTTCATGATCTGTTCCAGAATTTTGCCTTAGCTTGATGTCAGACTGACTGGCCTGTAGTTCCCAGGTTCCTCTTTTTTTCCCTTTTTGAAAGGGTCAACATTAGCCCTCCTCCAATCCTCTGGCACCTCCCCCGTTCCCCACAATTTCAAGAAAATAATGGATAGCAGTTCTGAGAGTTCTTCAGCCAGTTCCTTCAGTACTCTCAGATACAGTTCATCCGGCCCAGGAGATTTCAACTCGTTCAAGGTGGTAATGTATTCCTTGACTATTTATCTATCTCCAGCTGTAATCTTGTCCCCCCCCTCCTTGCACTTACAATTTGTTTAGAAGTTCATTGCCTGTCCTATGGGAAAAGACTGAACTATAATAGGAATTGAGCACCTCTGCCTTTTCTTTGTCCTCTGTTATCATTTGTCCATCCCCATTGCGGAGTTGTGCCACTATGTCTTTTGTTTGTTTGTTTGTCTTTTCCTACTCACATATCTGAAGAATGCTTTTTATTGCTTTTAGTGTCTCAAGCTAACCTCAGCT